ATAAGTTAACTGAATTTTCCAGAAACAACAATAAATCTCCAATGAATATACTGATTTTCCAGCTCAAAAACATTATCATCCCAGCAGCATAATAACCCCTGAAGAACCAACCGCTGGAGATTCAATAAAACCTTGAAGAATATTCAACTCACTTCTTCTTAAAAAAAGATCTTTGTATCTTTTCAGATTTAGTTTCTTGCAACCAAAGAAAAGAAGATACCTTAGGGACTAATCTCTGAACAGCCCGCTATTTTTCTTTTTTTCCCAAACCCCTTACATTCCATGATATTATGATTAATTTCTCCTTCATCATTAATAATTCAACAATTTGAATGCCCCCTTAAAACTCCTTAATTGGCCACCAAACTCCAAAAGGATTGTATAGTACAGAAAACAAGTAATCTTCCACATATAAGCTTTCCCTTACTCTCCCCGAACATTTCTCAAGGCTTAAAATTTTATCAATAAAAGTCTTCTTCCCTTCCTTAAAAGAAATTCCAAGCATTTGACAAACTTTCCATGTAGCCATAGCTTCCTCCAACAATATTGAAAAAGGGGATGAAGAGACAATAGAATTTCTACCAAATCCAGAGCGTAACTAATCAAACTTCTTTTCATCCTTCAGTGATCTTTTCCAGCTCCTGAAGCTGAATGAGAAATTGGCAGAACCATTGTTGACCATTTCATGCCCTTTTCCCAAACTCATTGTAGAAAACTGGTGGATGCTCCTGAAATCTGTCGTCTTCTTATCATGGACCGGAATAAACTTTGACTGAAACTTGACCTCTTCGTTATCCGAGCAAAACCAAAATCGTCTATGTCTTGACCTTCTGTAAACTCTAGTATAACGCTCTCTCTCCCTCCCTCCTTCCACCAGGAGCACTTTTAATTGACAGACAGCTAGACACTGGATACACCATGTTCCAACCCTTAGAGTTCGCTTTGATTTCTATATGTTCCTCCAGAGGCAATCTTCGATCAGCTTCGATATCTGAGGATTCTGCTTCTACATAATTATTTCCTTCACCTTTATCATCTTTGGTGTTACATCTTCCAACCTCCTCTGTTGTTGAAGCTAACCGAAAGTTGACCCATCCCACTTGTAGTTGAAGGTTGGCCCAGCAGGTAAGAGTTTCCGGACCGGAGAATAAGATTCCCAATTAAAATCCGATTGGGTTGAGCTTTTCTGGTCTAGTTTTTCTTGCAACCCGAGACCCGCATAATCCCGGTTGGGAAATGCCTCCATTTCAACTTCACTAGAGACCCCAATTAGAGACGGATCCGTATTTTGGTTTTGTTTCATATAATGTTCCCCGCTAATTTCTTCAACCCATTCTCTCGTCCTTGTTTAAGCCACGAGTCCACCTTTGACCGAACCTCCTCTGATGACATTCGACGATCACCTTCTACATTTTTCCAACATCCTACTTCATCTCCCTCCTTCGAATACTCAGCATTGTAGTAGTCACATGAATTCATTTGCATCTCCTTTCCGATTACAGCAGAGATATTTTTTGCATTTAGCGCTCAATTTAATTGTAACTTTGAAAGACCTGCCATAAGATCCTACATTGATAAAGTCCGGTATGTCGAAAGGGCTCGCCACCCTTATCAATAATCTCGCCGATGATAGATCCTCCCTATTCCTCGTCTCCTACGAAATGCATAAAAATTTCCCCCATCTGCTTGCAAGTTTTTCCAGAAAATGCTCATTCCAGCATACGTGTGGTAGTCCAACTAACTTTAATGAGAACAACAAACTCAGCTTCAAACTCTTCACAGAACAGCATATTTATGACTCATATTCTCTCTAAAATACATGCACAGATACATCATCCACATATGTTATCCCCCATATAACCAAAATAATCTAGAACATGGCCAAGAATTTGACAGATTTAACAGTCAAAGTAAATCATTCAAATAAATAGATCGGGCCATATCTAAATTGAAAAGGTGCAAAACTGGAAGCAGATATAGCTAATTTAAATTGTTTAGAAACATTCATAAGAAATAGATGTACATACCCCCAGAGTCTGAATTCCCATTAAGTACGGTTACCGGATTGGACATTGTCAAATCTTGAGCTCTTGCGCCTGTTGTCTAATCTAAAAATACATAAACCCAAAACCATATACAAATGGTTAAACACAAATTTACAGAGGATGATTAACACATAAAGAAAACTCCAACCTCATCCCCCCAACCCACCTAAGAAAAAGAAAAAAACTGCAAAATTTCATCGGCATTTACACAAAACTGGTCCAACAAGTTCTACACCACGCTACCCGAACATAAAGAGAGTGTTGTAAATGGATGTGTTTCCAATACAAGTATATTCAATTTGTATATGTTTTTCCTGGAAGAATCAAACCCATACCCATGTTCGGATATTTGTCAATCACAGGTGTCGGACATGGGCACTTATGAAAAAGGGAGAGTCCGAATAACATAGGTTCTATATACATGATCAGCACTTTAAAAATAATCTTAAACGTCAAAAACTTGGGCACTTAGCAAACTAAAAAAGATAGAATTTGAATGAAAACGCTAGACTGAGAGTACCTGAGCAGCAAGAAGCGTATGATCATACTTATAAGGTGAGAATTGGACATCATCGACGCCTTTCAGTAATTCCTGAAGCTGGGAAATGAGTTCAGATAAACGCCCACTCCTCAAAACAATTGAACCAGATAAACCTAATCCCAAATTTTAAGAAAACCCGAAATTCAAAATTCAAGAGAAAAGGTAAAGAAAATCAAAGCAATAAAAGGAAAAAGAAGAGAGATTAGATGGTGGAGAACGTAAAACAACCTGCGCCCATAAGAATTAGAAATTTGGAGGTCTGAACCCCAGCCTGCATCGCCATGTTCTTACTTTATTTTCGGCTTTGTGGTTGAATCAAGGAGTGTGTAGAAGAAATGAGGGCAGCCTTCAGTTGAAATCAACCCTGTTTCTCTTTTTTACTGCTAGTTTTTTTGGCGGAAAACTAAAAAGGAATAGCCGTAGAGAAGATATGGAAGTGTAGGGTCGAAAGTACCCTCTATAAATAATGACACGGTAGAAATTATTTAGGTAAAATATAGAAATAGTGAATGAATTATATTAAAATGATTCTTTTAATTACAACATTTTTAATTTTTTTTAAATAGACTTTAAACTGTTATTTTATTATAAAATAGATATCATATTGTTAATTGTTAATTTTTAAAATGAAAGATGTGACCTATTAAATTAATGGATATTGAACAATATTTTATTGTCTCTTAATTATAATTATAGTTTTATTTTGATAAAAAAATTCTTTAGCAGTTTATTCCTTTTTTTTTTCTTTCTTGTTTAGCAGGCGACGACATCAACTTTGGCACTAGTAGTGGATTGCATGTATTTTTTTATATCACATCTTATTTTTTATTTAGTTGATTTTTAATTTCCAATAATTTGTACATCTATGGCACGCTTTTGTTTGTCTTTATGACACATTTCCTCTATCTTTTGATTTTTCGATCGTTTCTTTGTTTAATTTTCTTAGTGATGAATTTGACGACACATCGATTGATTAAGATGACACTTATTTGTTATACTAATTTCTTCCCTGCTTTGGGCATCGAATTATATTTGGATACACAATTTGTGTTTAGAGAAAATTTTCTCATGATGCTCGACTCTAATTTATGATTGTCAGTGACCTTTCAATAGTTTGATATTTTATAATGATTCGTTTGTCGATTCAGTCAAATATGTTTATATTTATCTTGTATTTGATTTTTTAGATGGATTTTAACATTTTCTTTGTATAATCTTTATATGTTCTCAAATGACTAGTTTCTTGTGTTAATGATTAGTTTCTTATGTTAATGATTATAATGATATGCCATTATATACTCATTGCAATGTTAGATATTATATATTTTTTTAATAAAACTAGCGGCTTATATTTACATACAAAATTTATTTTAATATTTGTTTAATATTAATAATTCTAAAAAAATAAAGATGTATAAAAATTTATAACTTATTTTTAATTATAATTTTTTTAAAATTATAATTATGAGAAAACTTTCATATAATTTTAATAAAACAATTCATATTTCAAATTACTTACATTCTCATCCTCCTAGTAACCTGTAACAAAGTTTATTATGGTCACACAACTTTTGTTATAAATTACAAGGAGGAGAGTGTAAGTAATGTGAAATATGGATCATTCTATTAAAAAATTTTAATTTATAAAAATATCAAAATTATAATTTCTAAAAATAAACTATAAACTTTTATATATTCTTTAGTATATATATATTAATTTTTTAAACTATTTCTTAGAAATATTATAAAAGCATGAAAAAACAAAATATTAATTATAGTCCAGACTAAATGAGATTTATTCATTAGTTTAATGTGACATACCATTTCCTTAACAATATCAATGTAAGTTAATGGGTTTGATGCTTTTTTTGTTACAAAATAAAGCTTAGTTTTATAAGATTTATTTAGGGACAATGCTCTTGAAGAAAGTGGGTAATGGGGAAAAATAGTATCTTAAACCTAGGGATGTCCTCAAAATGGTTTACGATGCAAACTCTCTGGTAAAAAAAAACACATGAATGTTGTTGATGTACAAATATGACCAAAGGTACATTTCAATTTGTATCGCTTTCTTCAATGGTTTTACTGTTACTTATGAAATATGAGAACAGAAAAACAAGCTTCTGCCACGATGACTGATTCATCGGCTTTAAAGGTGCGGGCAGGTGCAATCGAACCAAAGTGATGGCATCCAATATCCACCGAAACAAGAATGTTTGACCAATCAAACTGTTCTAGGAAGGGGATGCAAAAAGTAAGGATGCATTTGTTCCTCCAAAGCCAAAAGAATTAAACAATGCAACCCTAATTGGCATTTCCTTGGAAGCAGTCAAAGGCATGAAAGCATCATTAAATATGGGATCGGGTTTAGAGAGATTTAGTGTCAAATGTGCAATCCCCTGCAATAAGACACCACCATAATGTTCATTTAGTACAGTTCCAAACTTTCTTAAGTGAACCGAACAGAATCTTCCGTACAGTTCATCGACTTTGAACCACTAATTGAATACAGGCAGATATACTCATAGACAGAGATAACAAATTGGTTCATACAAGTGGGAATTACTATTATAACCATTTCAAAAGCTTTTTGAAAAGCTACGTCACGCCAATAAGTTGAAAGGTGCTTTCAATTGAATCATCAAGGAGAAGCTAAACTGATATACTTATATGGTGTATGGCTAAAACGGTAAAAATTGCTTCAACAGCTCCGGCTGCACCAAGAAGATGCCCGATAGCACCCTGTGTATGAAGGCGATTGTAGCAATTTTAAAAAAGGAATTGGTTAAAGTCGATGAAAGTTATTAGCAGGGAAGAAATGAAACTACTTCATTAAGTTACAGTGCAGTGGGGTCCAGCATGGAGAAAAGCAACATAAACTTATCCTTTTCTCCTAGTTCGCTCCCTCCTTCCCCCCCACCCCAACCAACACACACCCCTCTTTACATAAGAGTAAGAAACTTAGTAGTAGAAGTCGCTCAAAAATTTGAATGCACATTTCTTTTGGTAGAGACGTGAACAACATTATCGAGAAGGTTCTCTCTCAGGAGGGGGGACAAGTTGAAGTTGGCAGTAATCAACTAAGATACTATATCTTGGACATTGGTGGAAGAAATAAACAGGAAAAAAATTTCAACAAGATCAATTTCAAACTATCTTGTCGGTTCCGCATATTGATGCATAAATAACCAAAGGTAATTTTGCCTTAGAACATTTAAGATACTTCTCTCCTAGATCTGGTCCGAAATAGTAAAATTTACCTTTGTTGAGGAGAAGGCCAAAGTACCAGATGTTGCATGGTCAGTGAATATGGAATTGATTGCATTTGCTTCAATTGCATCACCTAAACAAGATATTCCAGATATGTGATTCACACAAAAACCAGTGTTAACGAACTTTAGAACATCAAATAACAGCAACTTACCCAAAGGTGTAGACGTAGCATGAGCATTCACATAGTCCACTTGGTTAGGTTGCAGACCAGACTGAAACGGCACAATATGTAAGTGCATGATAAACCAAATCTTCCAATTATGTATTTGATCTGTCTCTTTTGTCTATATGTTCTTAGTAATTGTTTGCTGGTTTTTTCGATATGTTTTATTTCTGGCTTGTAATCTTCTATTTTTATCGAACTTTGTATGAAGGTTTTGGATTATTGAATAAAATCGAGGTACTCTTTTCCTCCTTCTGCTACATACTGGCTACCTTTCGGTGGGCCAAGAAGTATGAAGGGGGTTTTTAAGGAGACCTCCTACTCTTATTAAAAAAAGAAAAAGATTAGAATATTAGTAGGCAGCTTGTCGGAGTACCAAAGTAAAGTGCCAGTGAAATGTGACTGTTAGAAACTCTAGAAGCGCTCATTTAAGTGTGAATAAGCTAACATGCAGCTCTTTATGGTCATGAACTGGTAAGGTTCACTGACAACCTTTACTACATTTTCAAGCAATTTATTCTCAATCGTGATTGTATTATATACAACTTGGACTGCTACCAAGACCAAAAGATATGAACATTTGAAGTCGACAATCATGTTTATACTTGGATATGACCCATGGGAGCAGAAAAAGGAACCCCCTATACACTGTTATAGACGCTAGACATAACTGATAGCAAATCAAAAGTAGTCAGTTTTTTAATAAGAATTTCAGGCCTCGTTAAAAACCCCCCTTCTTGATTGTTGGAGCTAGTAGTGTAGCTTCTTAATCAGCGGAAGGAGGAAAAGAGTGCCTAAGGATTTTATTGCACATAAGAGATTACAAAAGATACAACCTTACAAACACCTATAACAGAACCGATGAACAAAAACAACCTAAAACCACCCATAAATAACACCACTAGTCCATTCAATTCCTTCAATAGGTAAGACATCAACCTCTAAATTGACTGTCCTATTAACCAAATCTAACAACACCTAATGCAAAACAAACCAACATTACAACCAAAAACTTGTAGAAAAAAAACGCCTCTGAAAACAGATGCCGAACAATTAAGTATCAATTGGAGGATCAAGTTCTAATGAGATATCGCAATCTTCGGGGACCCAAGAGTTAGGTTTGAAGGATGGATCAACTTCATGCACCATAATCTTGAATAAATTATCACCGACCTTCAATTCCAACAACTCATCAATTCTCACTTGATATTTTGTGAGTATTTGGATTTTAGCCCGATCAAAAGATGATGGAAACTCACAACTGTTGTCGATTGATACTAATTTGCCCCACTTTGTTGCAATTCTTTTGAAAGTATCCCAACTCCAAGCGTGAAAAGGAATACCTTCGCAAACTAACCACACATGACTACAATTCACCACTAGGCTCTCGGACCAAGTTTCCACTCTAGAAAACCATTCTATAAGAGTTTCTAGATAGTTATCCTTCACGATTCTCAATGAATCAGAGTCTTCAAAAACCATTAGAACTATATTTGTAGCAGCCCTCATTAGCGTGAAGCCAACAAGTCCTTTGGCTTGAATTTGGTTAGCAAGATTACCAATTTTAATGAAGTTCTTGCACCACCCTACAAGACAGTTACTTAGCATGTGTAGCTTATCCTCGTCCACAACGCCCTCAACTTCATAGAATTTAATCCCTGAAATATCTTCCAGCCCAGACTTACAGCATACAACAGTCGAGAACTTTCTCCAGTAAGATTGTCGGGGTCTACACTTAGCCAAAGAGATTCTAGCTTTACTGCCATAAATATGATTATCATTCATCTTTGAAATCGCTATCTTGGCTTCTTTAATTGTTGCAAAGCGAATAAACCCAAAATGAACCCCTTGCGAGTTTCTTTTTTTTTTGGGAATGAAAGCATCAATAACTTTACCGTATGTGCAAAAAATAGATTGAAGTCTCTTCTAATGTATCGTCTCTGGAAGGTTTTCGATAAAAATTGTATAACAACCATTTTTGAACCCATTCCCGAAACTTGGCTTACCTTCCTTCGACCAATTATGAAAACCACTTCTACTCCTTCTCGCTACTTCGGGAAAATCTTCATTAGAGAACTCTTTCATAGTGCTCTCCTTGGTTCCTTCTTGATCAATATCGGTGTTAGGAAGAGCTGGTACTGCCTGAACTACTGAAAACTTCCCGACCCTATGATTTCCTCCTTGAGAAGAAGACCGACCAAATGTCATCTTTTCTAACAGGTGGCTGACAATCCAATGTTGCTTTAACAGAGCACTTCTTCAGAGGATTGGATAAATGTGGACTGTCACCTGACCTCGCTAAATACGTTCCCAAACTTTGCTGATTTTGGGACGTAGAATCTTTTCTGAAAGTAGTACTGTCGGGCTCAACTGTCCAACCAGCTTCACGAGCCAAGGCAGCTAAAACATCGTTCATAGCAACATTCTGGGGAATAGGGAAATTACCGAACTGCCTCAAACCAGCCAGAAAACGTCTGGTGAAAACTCGTCTGTATCGTTTCCGAATCTGTGTTCTTTTCATTCACCTTTGAACATTTTTCCTTACCAGAAAAAGATGAAGTGTTTGCACCGACGAGTCCAACGATTTTGAACTGCCTACCTCGTGATATTGTATCCTCCAGCATTTTAAGTTCATGTTCTCGCTTCTTCAAATCAGCCACTAGAGATTTGAGTTCCTTCACTCTCGCTTCTAAATCCTTGGCTTCAAGAGGGAGAGATGAAATCCTAGTCGTTGAAGGAGGAGCAGAACAATGACCCGCAGAGGATGCATCCACCGCATCTGATGCAGCAGACCTTGGAGCATCCACCACGTCTGTTGCAGCAGACCTTCGATGTCGCCTGGGTTGGGACGGTGGTTGAGGTGCCATGGATAGATCGAAACTTACAGAGCAAAAAGCAACGATTCTCTACACAAGAAAACGCAGGTTATGGTCGCGAAGAGAAGACGAGTTCGAAGGTGAGACAGTTTCGAACGCTGACAGCGGGATGCGGCGGTAGGCAACAAAGGAAGCTGTGAAAATTTGCGTCAAATGGTAGTGATTTTCGCAAATCTAAGACCAGATCCGAAAACACCATTAGCCAATGAACCTCCCAGGAAAAAACACATCAAATGTAGGTCGGAGTAAGGCGGCAGATGGCTGGCGGAGGCGGCGGGTGGCGGACGACTACGGAGGACAATGGGTGTTTGACAGAGGAGAGAAAAGATTCAAAACGGGCTCGTGAAAATTCAAAATTTGAAATCACCTGGGTTAGAGAGAAGTACAGCAGAGCATTACAATATCGTAGAACAACACATAAAGGTTAATCTAAACTATTAATGGACAACTTATCTACAAATCAAAAGTAGTCATGAATATTACTTGTTTAAAGGCACATTCTATGGCCAAAATGGCACCTCTCCCATCAATATATGGTTGAGTAATATGATGAGAATCACCTAGAAGTCATAACTTGTGTTTAGAAAACAAAGATTACTGAATATTACAGCTGGCACTATTGTAGAATACTTTCAGTTCTTTGAAAACAACCTGACATCCTATATCCTCGGACCTCCCCATAAATTTTTGCTCCTCATCTTTATGCATGCTCAAGTTCCTTAATAGAAAAGGGATATAACCATTATGAAAAAATGGAAAATATCACAAACAACAATAGGGAAAGGGGTTTGTGATTGAAATACATAAAAAATATATAGCTCAATTTACCTCTAATATCAAGACACCAGAACCTTCACCTATCCTGGCGATACAAATTTCCACGAGCCTAGGCATTTTTGAAAATAACTCTCCTCCAACACCTGTTATCCACCGCCGTCGATCGTCACCCGCCGCCCGCTGTCAGCCGTCTGCCACCACACTCCGACCACCATTTGACGCCATTTTTTCCTGTGAAGATCGTCGGCTCTAGGTGATTTCAAATCTGGTCTGAGATTTGCGATTGAGACTTTCAATCAACGCATATCTTCAAGAAGTCAACCCTTTCCTCCAATTTTCTGTTAATTTCCAGATCTCACCATGGAACCCCAACCATCGTCTCATCCCAGGCGAACTTGAGCTACAATAGTAGCGGCAGGTGCAGCCTCTGGGAGCAACAACAGATATGGTTTTTTCTACTCCGATAAGGAAAATTGTGATAGGGAGAATAAACAGGAGAGGTCAAAGCTTCGGAAACGAAACAGGCGAGCCTTCACCAGACGTTTTCTAGCCGGTTTGAGGCAATATGGTAATTTCTCTCTTCCCGTACATTCTGATATGAACGCTATTTTGGCAACTTGGCACGGGAGGTAGGTTGGACAGTTGAGCCACTCTCCTACCCACCATAATCAGCAAAATTTAAGAGCAGTTTCTGCGAGGTCGGGTGAACTTCCTCTTTCAACCAATTCTTTGAATAAATGCTTTGTTAAAGGAACATTAGACTGTCAACCTCCTGTTGTTAGGATTGTTGACAGTGGTATGTCTCTTTCGCAAGGTGAGAATTATAGGATGGAGAAGCTTTCTTAAGTGAAGGTAACACCCACTCTTTCTTCTGCTGAAGTTGATCACCATGGAACCAAGAAGGGGTATTCCATTGAAAAATCTTCTGAAGTAGCGAGAAGGAGAAGAAACGGATTTCAAAATTGGCAGAAGGAAGGTCATATAAACAGTAGAAATGGGTATAGTAGTGGATGCGTCACGTTATTCATTGAGAACCTGCCGGAGAAGATCCATTGGAAGAGACTTGGATATATATTTGGCATACACGGTCAAGTTATGGATGCCTTCATTCCAAAAAAATGAACTCGAATGGAGTTCGCTTTGGGTTTATTCGCTATGCTACAATTGAAGAAGCAAGGAAAATGATCTCAATGATGAATGGTAATCTTATTTACGGCAGCAAAATTAGAGTCTCTTTGGCTAAATATAAACCTCGACAGTCTTATTGGCGAAAGTCCTCGACAGTTGCTCAACGTAAGTCTGGGATCGAAGATATTTCGATGAGTAAACATTGTGAAGTTGAGGGTGTTGTGGACGAAGATAAACTTCACGTGTTGAATAATTGTCTTGTGGGGTGGTGCAAGAATTTTATCAAAATTGGTGATCTTGCTAACCAAATACAAGCCAAAGGACTGGCCGGTTTCACGCTAATAAGAACTACTGGAAATGTAGTTCTAATGGTCTTTGAAGACTCTGATTCGTTGAGTAACGTGAAGGATGATAAGTTAGAGACTCTAGCAGAATGATTTTCCAGAGGGGAAACTTGGTCGGAGAGCCTAGTGGTGGAGTGCCGTCGCGTATGGCTAGTTTACGAAGGTATTCCTTTTCATGCTTGGAATTGGGATACTTTCAAAAACATTGCATCTAAGTGGGGCAAGTTATTAGCAATTGACAGCAGTTGTGAGTTTCCATCATCTTTTGATCGGGCTAAAATTCAATTACTCACAAAGGCTCAAGGGATAATGATGAGTTGTTGGAGTTGAAGGTCGATGCTAATTTATTCAAAATCTTGGTGCATGAAGTTGATCCTTCCTTTAAACCTAATTCTTGGGTCCCTGAAGATTGTGAAGTTTCATTAGAACTTGTTCCTCCAATTGATTCGTGACTCGTTGGCAGCTGTATTCAGAGACGTTTTTTTAGTTTATGGTTGTAATTTTTGGTTTTTATTTTTCTATGTTATCTTACATCTTGAGGTGTATTTTAGAAATAGGGTTACTGTCTTAGGGGCATTTTGTTTGAAGATGGAAGATTTTTAGGTTTTGCTGGAGGAAGTGCTATCTACTTTGGAAATTAGTAAGTTATTGGGGCTGTCTTTCAAGGATAGGAAGTCAACTTTTCTAGAAAAAATTATTAAGTTTGAGGAAGATTTGAGGCGGGTCTGAGGTCATGTTAGTTGGGGTTCTGGTATTTTTTTTATTAATAATGAAAACTTAATTATCCATTATTACATGGAATATTAGGGGATTGGGAAGAATGGAAAAACACAGGGCTGTTCAAACTCTGGTTTTAAAGAAATGCCCTTTAATACTCCTGTTACAAGAAACCATATTGGAGAAGGTTCAGAGACATTTTTTAAGGAGGACTGGTTTGAATACCCTTCAAGGGAGTCTAGAATCTCCAGCAGTGGGTTCTACTGGAGGTTTATTGAGCTGTTGGGATGAGAGCTTGTTTGAAAAGGAAGATCATATGATAAACAGAAGATTTATTGCTTTTTTTGTAAATTTTGAACTTCCCAATTTAGGTGTGGTTTCATTAATGTTTATGGGCCTGCTATTGAAGATGAGAAAGCCAGATTTTTTGAAGAGCTAACTGATTTCCTTGGTGCACAGAGTATCCCTATATGTGTGGGAGGGGATTTAAACGTGTATTTATCAGAAGAAGAAAAGGTTGGGAGAGCTCAAAATATAAATTCAATAGGGATTTTCAGCCATTTTGTTCAACAAACATATTTAATTGATTTGCCTTTAAATGGGGGTAGGTCCACTTGGTGTAACAATCAGGATATCCCAACATTTGTTAGATTGGACAGGTTCCTAGTTGTTGTTCATTTCTTGGAGGCATTTCCTGATATGATTCAAACTTTTTTACCTAGGTTTGTGTCATATCATAATGCCATTATTCTTGAGAATGGAGGTGTTAGTTGGGGCAAAAAACCATTCAGACTGTTTAATTATTTGATGGATGAGGAAGGTTTTCAAAATTTAGTACATTCTACTGTTCAAGAATGTAAGAGTAAACAGAAAAGAGATGGAATTTTGTCTATCCTGAGAACAACAAAACTGGCGATCAAGAATTGGGCGGGGAAGAGAGACCAATTTCCAGCTGTAGAGATTGCTGAATTAGAAAGGAAATTCATATGGTAGAGGATAATATCCAGTAATTACAATATCTAAATTGAAAAGAAAAATGAGCATAATTGTCTTCTATGAGAGCAGAATTATAGAGGCTGTACAGAATTGAAGAACATATATGGTTTCAAAAATCGAGATCAAAATGGGTGGAAGAAGGGGATCACAATATATGTTTTTTCACACTTGTGCTTCAGTTAGGAGGAAGAGGAATTTCATGAGTGCTTTGAATGTGAATGGTGATATTACTCAAGATCCGGCTATAATCAAAATTAGTGTCAATGACCATTTTTTTGAAATTTTTAACACAAGGTCTACATTGGAAGTTGAAGATTTGAAGCTGAAGTTTTCCAGAATTTCTCCAGAATTTCATTGGAGCAGAGTTTGATTTTAGAAAAAGAATTTACAGAGGGTTGTACAAGCTCCTTTCAAAATGTGTCTAATATTGGTGGATTAGATTATTATAGACCTATAAGCCTGTGGGAGGGTTGTACAATGTCCTTTCAAAATGTCTCTCGAGGAGACTAAGGAATTGCATTAATGATTTAATCAGTCCTAAGCAGTTTGCCTTCATTCCAGGACGTCAAATATTAGATTGCTCTCTTATAGCTAATGAGGGGGGTAGACTTTTGGAGGAAAAAATGACTTCAAGGTTGCATGTTCAAAGCAGATTTTAGGAAGGCATATGATACAGTGGATTGGGCTGTTCTATTTTAAGTTATGGAGAAAATGGGATTCGGCATCAAATGGAGGAGTTGGATTAGATAGTGTATTACGACAGCTTCGATTTCAATTTTGATTAATAGGGTCCCTTCTCAGGAATTTCCCATGGCTAGGGGTCTCCGTCAGGGTTATCCTCTGTCTCCATTGCTTTTTAACTTAGTTAGGGAACTCCTAAATCTACTGCTGCAAAAGGCAATCTCTGAGGGGCTGTTTTGTGGACTGCAGATTGGTAGGAACGACACTGCTGTCGATTTTTCTCATTTGCAATTTGCAGATGATTTGATAATTTTTTGTGGGGCTCCGAAGAAACAAATTTTAAATGTTAAGAGGGTTCTAAAAGTGTTTAAAGTCATGTCTGGTCTTCAATTGAACCTAAAGAAAAATAGGTTATTTGGTGTCAATACGGCTCAAAAGAATGGTGCAAAAAGGAATTTTTCCCAACTTTGGGATCCGGTTGTTCAAAACTTTTACAAGAAACTTGCTGGTTGGAAAGATGCCACTCTTTCGTTGGCAGGTTAGTCTTGATTAAATTGGTCCTTTGTTTACTACCTACTTATTAGTTATCTCTATTTAAAATTCCATCCTCGGTTAATTCTAAACTCAATTCCATTATGTCTAAGTTCTTATGGGGAGGTGGAATGGAGAAGAATAAGGTTCATTAGGTTAGTTGGCCCACTGTGTGCAAACCCAAGAATGAGGGAGGTTTGGGAGTGTTGAATCTAATTAATATGAACAGAGCCCGTTTGGGAAAATGGTCTAGGAGGTTTGCTAATGATAGAAATATTGTTTGGAGGAGGTTGATATGCTTTAAATACAACATAAATCCTTATTTATTATTGTTCAATAGCAAGGCTCCAGCTCAAGCTTATTGGATTTAGAGTGCAATGGTTAATAATCATTTTAAAGAAGACTTATTTGGCTCAAAGTTTCGTAGTATGTGCAGAATTCAAATTGGTAATGGTCAGTTAATTCAGATTTGGCAAGACCACTGGGTGATGGACTGCGCACTCAAGGTTTCTTTCCCGAGGATGTTTTCTATTTCTTCT